TGTGGTGGGTTAAGCAATTTTTCCAGAATTGATCAGCAGAAAAACTAATGTAGCGCTGGAAATTTGCTGCGAAAAACAAAAACTTCTACAGATCAGAAAGTAAGCTCTCTCCACCGATCAAGATATCCCTGATAACTTGACAAATAATAAACATGCCCAGAACAATGATTTCGACTCCTGGTTCCGTGTTATTTCAGCGAGAACCCACAGGAAAATACATTGTTTTTTTCGTCGGAAAATCAGTAGGAATTGATAAGACGTTGGAAGCAGGGATCAAGTGACTGGATCTGGCATCCGGATTTTTCCAGTTCTGGTCGGAAACGGCTCGTATTTTGTTAGCTGAGCATGATAGAAATCAGCAAATTAGTAGAATTCATTAACTTCTTCATTTGATTGAATCTGCACAAAAAGAAATGCAACGACTCTTATTTATTAATTTTATCAATAAATAACTATTCTTTTCTTTCGACTGAAGCTTGCTTCAATTGTTGTATTGAAGAAAAGTTTTGTCGTACTTTCTTCTTTCGATACAGATTAACTGATATACTTAGGGCAATTCAAAAGTAGTGGCAGTGGTAGTTATATCTCTTATAAACAGCTTAAAGAGACTTTTTCTCTACATAGTCTGATAGAGAGAAGAACGCTTTATTTTTCTATGCAATTTGGTCATACTTCAACTAATATCATTATAATAATATTTCGATATGATCTATTTTGTTCACATGTGTCACGGTCACATGATTTCCTGGTGAGTATTTTTTGAATAATATTTGATGGACACGTCATAGAGAAGTGCGGCTTTTCCCGTGGAAAAGAGGAGATGAAGATGCATCGAATCATGTGTTACAGGTTTTCCTAATATCGACTTCTGAAGTATTTTGATTCAATACTCCTAACTATCGCAAAAATGTTTTCTTTCATAAAAGAAAAAGTACAAAAAGTAAGCTTTTTTCATAGACGTGAATAGCGAATCGTATTAGAGACTCGACTAAAATTCATATTATTTATCTCAACCTTTCGCACTTTGTAGCTCGTCGATTAGTAGTTGGAATTTATATTTGGTAATTGAAAACTCACTGTAAACAACTCACTAGATAGATTTGTTCTGAAAAAAGTCAATTGACAACCTTTCAAAAAATAGATCAGGAAATCCTCGAATATATGATTCGGTGGATCTTCATCTCCTCTTTTGGATGTTGATAATAATCAGCAGATAAGATTTCAAAACAGATCTTATCGAAATTTTATTATTATGACATTAATTGAAGTATGATCAAATTGCATAGAAAAATAGAACATTCTTTTCTCTATCAGACTACATAAAGAGAAAGTTTCTTTAAGCTTGTTATAAAGAATTAAAGTACTACTGCCACTACTTTTGGATTGCCCTGAGTAGTTTGAAACATGTTTTCTTTCTTTCTTGACGTGACAGAAAAGAGAAGAGATTGACTATTTCACTTTGAGAATGACACAGTTCTGTCTGTTGTATATATCTTCTTTCATTTCATTCGATATATGAATGAAATCGGAAAAATGAAATTCATTAAATTGTTCTCTTTTATGATTACATTTAAATCACATACTGATGGATTAGAATACTCAACATAGTATTTCAGTATAGTTTAATGATATAACCTTAGTTTTTTTTCGCAAATGATGGATCCGTTGAAACGTTTAGAAACAACTTGTATGAACAAAACCGTATAGCAAAACGAAAGTCTTTCAAATATTTTATATTATGTTCAAAACTAACGCTATCATCTAGGTTTGTTATTTTGAAATTTTGAAAAGATCATCGGTAGAAATCAATAAAGACTTGTTATCATTATTTTTCTAGAGCTTTTCACAGCGTATCTTTTTCAAAAAATTCAACATTTTATGATTTATCTAGGTCGAGACACATGGTCAATTAAAAAAAAAAGTTGCAAACATTTGGGTACACCCAGCGTTTTTTCGTAATATAAAAGTTGTCTTTTATTTTTACCAAGAAAAACCGAATTGGCACATGCTGCACTTGTCTAATACAGTTTAATCTTTGTGTGCACTTATATTGGTTTTTCTACAGATATTTTGCCTAGGTCTTTGACTGTAACATTCTTGTATTGCTGTTCGTTTTCGTTCTTTATTACTTGGCTGAAAATTTTGTTTCAATTGTCAAATGATAATTAATTATAGATTATGAAAATTGTTTTCTACCGTATATTGATATGTATTGAACTAGCATATTTCTATGAATTATACGTGGTTATCAATAGGATTATACTCATTTTAGAGTTTAACAGATATTGCCAAAGTTCTTCTACAAATGTCTTTTCGTTTTTCATGTTCAAAGGCAAGTTTCGAAAAATTACAAAACATACCTATTCAAAAGCTATTTGGTAAGAACTTTCTAGCTATGTGTTTGGAATTCTTCAACCATGTGTTGTCTTTGAGTAACAAATACATGTTAGAACATCATTGAAAAATAAACGATCTGCAACTTTTTTTTTCTTGCTCATTGTATCAGGTTGAGTTATTTTTTGTTTACAATAGGTTTTCAATTCAACTGCGTGCAAACTGTGCAGTAAAATGTATGATATTGTTTTAGATAATGTTGGAAAAGTCTAACAACACAACTCTAGTCATTTTTCGGTAAAATTCTTATTTTGTATTGTTTCATATTTAATTCACTTTCTTGATGTTTCTAATCATTCTTTTGATATGTTGGCAACCTATAGCTTTCAACATACTGATATTATAATCAACTCTGCTAGTGAATCTAAAACAACTTTCATCAGCTTATCACGTTTTTCCAAATTGAATTTTCATGATATTTCATAGGACTTTATTTTTCCATTTTTTGTTGATCTCATCTAAATTAATGTCATAATATTTTCTACTCAGTTTGTAGAGAAACCAATGTCAAGTCTAATAGAAAAAGGACTCTCACTATCCAACGAACTTGATACGAGAAAATCCAAAAATATTGAAATAATAGTTTGTTTTACAGCAGCCACTCTGACTTACTGTTATAGGCTACGTTTTTATATCATTCGAGCATATGCTTATTTCTCAAAAACAGCGCATGATTAAAAAACTTACAACATACAGTTAGAATGCCTTGTTAACGTAGATCCTAAGTAGCTATTTTTTTACAAGAGTCAACACACTGATTTTATGATTTTAAGTGATTTTGAATATTTTCAAATTGATTTCTGCTATTGAATTAGTTTGTTCTCCTTGGTTTTTTTTTTATTTCTCCAGAACCTGTCTTTGCAGAAGAAAAGCCAGAGGACGGTGTTCAAGATATTACTGCGACACTTGTTAATGGCTTCATTTATAAATTCTAATTATGAATATGATATAATGTCAATTGAAAATTTTAATAATAGAAACATTAAGAAATATTACAATTATATGTAATAAATGCTCTCGAATAAAATCAATATAGTTTGATATTTTTTTTTGTAAAACTCATTCATTAAGATATGTATTTTGTCATAAGAAATTTAATCATTAATGAAGAAGTAATGAGATTTGATATAGTGATATAACAAGTCCATATTGTTTATCCGATATATTTATTCGAATCAATTTAGTTCATATTATAAAATAGTCTTGGTTTTACAAATTCAGAAAAAAAATGAATTACTTTTTGATAATAAACTTTATTTTATTATTAAAATATTCTATGGTGTCCATGACGAACTCAGCGGGTATATTTTCATACTGTTTCAAAGATGGATTCTATATTTTATGCCAAGTTTGATTTAATTCAACAAGCATATTACATGTTTTTCACAAAATTAAACAAAACCTAATTGTCTTGTAAGCATTTTAACACTCCACTTTATTTAAGAGTATCACAACATACAAGTTCTAATACGCATTCGTCTAAATCTTGGAAGACTCCATGTGATCAGATAATGCAAATTTAACAGATAAGATTATCTGATTAATATACCTTTACTAATATATATATATGCATTCAAACCATTCGCGAGTTATATAAACATGTATGAAAATGTCAAATAAAACGAAGAATACTATGTTCAATGATATATAAAAGCCCATCGATTCTTTCAATAAAAGATTATTTGTGTAGAACATGTATTATAAATAGATAAGTCAATACTTTTCGAAAAACTATATTTTGATCTATTAATTTTATTAGAAGGCTTTAAGAATAAGAATTTCTTTTACAAAACGAATGTCAAATAGTATTGCTACTCTCATTAAAACATTCTTTTATGATTTTTTTTTGTCGGATCAACTTTTCAAATGTGATTTTTCATTATTCTTAATGAGATGAAATACCAACAAATACTTAAGACAATCCTTGTTTGTAATATTAATATTCTATTCATGACGTGATAGAACTTGCCACACTGATTATGAACAGCGTTTTTAATAAAAACCTAAAACAGTCTCCATTTTATCCATTCTTTGTATGCGCTAAGCCTACATAAATACCTTATTTTCAGAGACAAAATCTACCAAAGTGTACCAAAACAAAATTTTATAGAACTTAAAGAAACGAAATATTAAACAATGTTGATATCGTTTGGACATATTTTTTAAGTTCTAAATATTTTTGAATGCATTGAAAAGAAAATGTAAAATTATTTTGCAAATTGTATTTTATATACTCTGTTGTTTTTTGAATAAAGTGCAAAGCAAAGTGTATTTCAAGAGTAACAGATGATTCAGAATGTGAGTATGACGAAAACAGTACACACATCCATACCCAGCTTTCTTTAAAAGAAGAAATAAGCTTTTGTGTTGTGAAAAGATGCTTGTTGGCTGAGAAATATGTCAAATTAAATACATTTTTTCTTATGAAATAAATTTTTCATAGAAGTTTTACTTTCACTAAAATAGGTTATTAGTTTTTTTTTTAAATTTTTTCGAATATATGTAAAAATGCCATTGAACGTGTTTAACAATAAGAAGAGAAGAGTCCCCGAGTGGATGAATTGATGGATCACGGCTTGTTCCATTTCTTCCTTTATAGAAATATTTTATTGATCTTCAAACCATATTCGATTACGAGTGAGTAATGTCTTCTAAAAGAAATTATATTTTTCTTTATTTTTACTTAAATCATAATTATTTTTAAAAAGAACCTGTAGTTTTTGTATTTTTTGTTCTAATAATTTAATTCGTAAATCTTTACGTTCATTTTGATCTTGTAATTCAGCAATTCTTTCTCGATAACTATTTTCTACCAAATTCTTCAATAGAAAAAAAAATATATGTTTTGTTGACATTCCGAAGAAACATTGCAGAGCAATTTTACCAATCTTTCATTGATAAGTAACTGAATATGGCTCATTAAATCCGTCGAATGCATATTTGAAAAAGGATATAAAGACAAATTTTCTGATGTTGAATATTGATAAAGTAGAGGCTTTTCTTGATTATCACAGTTTAAACTTTGTGCATTCATTATAGAACATCTCGATTTTGAGCTAAAATAAACATAAATGAAAGAGAACTTGAAAATTTGATTTCTTTATACCTTGCTCGATTTCTTATAGTTATTCTTCGATTATGACGGCATAATGGTATTTGTTCAATTGTTTTTTCTTCATTTTCATTATCACCATTATTTTCTTTCTGTGAATTACTATTAAATAAAAATAATCAAGTTATCATCAAATGACTCTTGAAGAACAAACCCTTCTGTTACAACAGATGTAGATATTGGTGGTGTTGCTATTGGATTATGTGTTAAACATGAAGCAATTGACGTTAATGTAGTAAAAGCACTTTTCATTTTTTCTGCTGCTTCTTTTTTTGCTTTTTCAAATCCGAGTCGATTTTGTGCATATTCATATAATTTACGCTCAGCTTCAGGATAATCACGACAGCCTTCTAATACATCTTCTTTTGATAAAGAAAATAATTCTGAATAACCCACACTTCGTACATCAGCTGTTCGCCGATTAGCGCCATCAATATTTAATATACCAATTTCACCAAAAAAATCGCCTGTACCCAAACGTGTTAATACATCATTTTTTTCGCTAAATATATTTCAACTTTCTTATTAAATTAGCATGTAATCTATTCTTACTTGACTACTTCAAGAACACCATCAGCTATAATAAACATTTCACGTGCTACTTCACCTTTACGACAAATAACATCACCAGGTGTAAAAATATAAGCACGCATTTTAAGAACAAGATCATGAAGAAATTCAGGTTGACATTCTTGAAATATAGTGACCTTAATAATACACAAAATAAACTAAGATTTTATCAGTGACCACAAGAATTTATTCGAAATTCTTGAACTTTTTTCTGTCATTTTTATGGAATCTGTAGAAATCAAGAGTCCAAACGGACAAGTTATTATTCTTATCTTCTCTATTTGATATTTCAATGAATACTGAACTTTATGAAAAATTACTTTTTCATTTTTCTTGTATGTGCAAATCTTCAATTGAATTTACCTTTTTTAACGTTCCCAAATTAACATGTAAAGCCAATTCAGTTTTAAGTTTATCAGGTAATAATTTTATTGAATGAACGTCACCTGCACCTGACATTCGACCACGCGACCAAGAATAATCATACCAACGTTGAACACGTCGTTGCATTTCAGGTGGAACATTATGTGAACGCATATATTGTTTAGCACTATCCTATAGACATAAACAAAAACAAAACAAATTCAAATTCAAATTCTATTATTCTTTTTATCTATTCGATTCTAACCAATAAACGTTCAAATTCTAAACGACTAGCATTACGATTTGTAATAACATTGCCAACTTGTCCTAACAAAAAAAAAAGAATCCTAGTACTTTTCAATTATATGTTTCTTAGTTTTCAACACTTACCTATAATCGATGAGAAAACAAATATTCCAATCATGTAACTGGTAATAGCGAAAACAGCCCTCAAAAAAAAAGACAATGTGGTGTGTATCTAGTTATATTTTCCTTTAAAACCATGTCTTAGTTTATATTTATAAAATAATCTTTTCTCAATAGATATTCTTTCGATTTGTTATTATTGCTTACCCACGATGATAGCTATGACGAAAACAGCGAACAAGTGAACGCTTATCAAAAAAGCGTAACTAAAAATGAATCTCAAAACATGGATTAATATATATATAAAACAATATAAACTTACCGTTTGTTCGTAAAATTTTTGAGCCATCTAGCTTTTAAGAAAAAAAAACAGAACAAGAAAAAAAAAAGAACAAAATATTAATTTTGTTTTGCTCTCAACACAAATTTCCCTCCTTATTTACTATCGAATAAACGAGTAAAAAACAAAAACCGAAAAGAAAATCTACTCACTGCCAATTGGTTTCTGGTGGTGGTAAATCTCCAATTGTTGTTAATGTTAATGTTGACCAATAAAGACAACGCAGATACATTTTAGCTAATTGAGAAAAATTTCCAACAGGTTTTGGATATGACCAATATCCAACAAAACCTTCAGCTTTTGATACCATAAAATAAAATGAAGCTAACCAATGTCCAAGTAAAAGAAGTATATGAAAAAGATTTAGAACACGATATGTATTCGGATAAACAGTACGTGATTCTTGTAAATAATATAATTGAAATGTTCGATATACTTTAAAGAAACGTGGAAAACGAAGAATTGGAATTGTACCAAATTTTATTTGTAATAAATCCAATGGTGCTAATGAAATAATATCAAAAATAAAACGAGATGAATGGACATAATTCATTGCTAATTTATAATGATCATAAACAAGTAAACCTAAAATATGACAAATCAACTTAAGAAACATCAACATATAAAATTTGTTCCTGTGCAAGAATCGATTTAAGACCTATTTAAACAATTCAGAAAATAGTAAAATTACAAACAAACATCAAAACTCTTTTTCTTAAGAATTAAAGTAAGATGTGACTGATGACAAACAAGAAATCTATTCGATCTATCATACCTTGTTCAAGATAACCGGTTCGAAATTGAATAGCAATATCAACTAAATACATTGCATCGGCTAAATAATCAATTATTTCCCATATTTGTGCATAGTCTTTTTGTAATGGTTCAAATGATTGACGTGCAATAGAAAACCATAGGTTATACAATACAAATATATTTAATACAATTAACCAATAAAATAAAAATGATTCATCTGTTGATATAACAAAGTAATTACATGAACGAAGAATTCGTCGAACACATGAATAACGACTTTTAATTGGTTCATCTTTTCCAATATTTATTCGAAGATTTCTTTTTGATGGCTCTTCAAAAAAGATAAAAGTAAATAAGAGATACAGTTCTTTATATTCAACAAAAAAAAAATTGTTGTTATAGATTTCTTTAGAAACAAAGAGAATATACCAATCGGTCCCAATCCTCGATAACCATAACGAGTAGAAAATCTTCGTAAAAATGAATCTTCTCGTTTTAAAGAAGTTTCACTGGTTTGGAGTTTAGTTGTTGTAAATGGATGAGGATTCTGTTAAAAGAAAATACATATTAAAAAAAAACATATAAACTAACCGAGGTATGGTTTAAAATAAGCAGTTAAAGGATCTTCACCATATGTTTGATGTCGACTCATTCGTAATGATCGTTCTTATTGACTATTGCATATTAGAACTCGTTACATTTTTTTTTGTCTTCAGCAACTTTTTTTTCTATATTTTAAGTATAAGTAAATAGAAGGAAGCAAATGTTGATGATTTGTTATGGAATTCTCTGGCAATTCATAATACTCAATTACATAGAGAGCAATGGGCGCAATGTCATGACGCTAAAGAAAAAGACGTTAAATAAGAAACAATAGATTTTTTCTTTTTTCTCCTATCTATCTTATTCGCCTTCGATTCGTCGGGTTTGATTGTCGACATAACACTCATTGAGTCGCGAATAAATGACTTAAGCATCCGCCCTAGTTCGGAGAATAAATATAATTATTAAATACTCACATCATCGATCGATGACAACGATAGTGGATTGGTAACACTAGTTGGTTGACCAAGAATAGAACCTTTAGAAAGGTATTCACTAGCACTTGATGAATCATTTGCATTTGGTAATTGTTGTTGGGATTGAATCTGTGAATTAGGAGATGGATTACCGCCACCTCCTTTATGAAGTAAATCATTTAAAACAGGTGTGAGAGCAGCTAATGGCATATTATTTTTGTCACAACATTATTATCATGAAGTAAAATAATTGATCGTTATCAAAAACCTAGAGATAAATTTTAATATAATACTCTTTATAGTTGAAAAAAACAATGTCATTTCATTCTACTTATGCCGAAAAATCTGAATTTTCTATTTTTCTCGATTTTTTTCATCATCATCATCATCATCATCATCATCTTCTTTATTTTTAATTGTTTTGAAAATAGCATTACACGATTGACAGAAAAATTAGATTAAATATTGTTTCACTAGATTGTCTAAATTATCATCGAACCAAGAAATGGAAAAATAGAATCAGAAGAAGATTTCTTTCACTTGTTTCCTTCCCCCCTCTCTCTCTCTCCCTGTTTCGTTCTTTCTTTTTTCTCACTCTCATCATATTGAGATCACACCAAGGACATAATAAATGAGTTCAACTATGTTGAGGCACAAACAATGAATCTATCTAAACAAAATTCTATTCTAATTCGTAGAACACATTTTCCTTATTTTATTGCATTACTATCATCATCAATTATAATTATATAGTGATGGAACATAATTGAGAGAATAAATTATAAATATTTCTTTTTCATTCATCTCACTTTACAATGAACTAAAAATCTTATTGTCTTGCATTTTTTGACATCTCTCAATCATACTATACAATCTATATTGATTTAAATCTTGTCACATTGAATACATACCTAAATCGAACGATGTAGTAAAACCATTTCTAGTATTAGTCTTTTTTTTATTCTTTTTACAGGATGGTCTTATTTGATACTCATTATTTTTTCTATTTTTTTCTCTCACCCGTAATCCTATTTGGTAAAAAAAAAAGAGAAAACAAAATAGAACTTATACAAAGCAGCCTCTTTTTTCGATGGCTAAACGAATAGGACATTTGGTGACATGAGAAGTAGAGAGAAAAACATGAGAATAGGCTTGATCATACACACACAAACAAGATCCTCAAGCTACATTAGTATAATACATCTTTTTGCCTCCTACTATCCTTCAATATATTTTCCTCGAAGGCAAAATTTTTTATGATGACAACGATAGTTCTTCAATTTCAATCTAATATCTTTATTAAACTGATTCCTATATAAGACAAAAAACAAACATGTTAAAGAGAAAGAAGGAATAAATAGGAAAAATAGACTGCTATATATGCAAACATACTGAATAGACCAAATTCTATTTTTTTGTTTTTAAATAAAAACTTACATAACTGACTAGAAAAAAAACATAGAGAAATCTGACCCGAGACCCAGTCGAAAGTTGTCAGTTGGTATTTATTCGTGTTCGTTCTTTTTCTCTTGAACAAATAATTATTGACAATCACAAATGTAGATTCGTTCTACAAGTTGTTGGCAGTTCAGAATCTACGAAAATTATGAGTGTGTAACAATAGTATAAAACACTTGAGGTAATACGCCTTTAATATTTAATGAAAATAGAAATTCAATGGGAAAATTTATTCATTTATACATAAAATAGGAACAAAGATTTGATTTTTTTGGATCCGATCAAAAGCCATTATATTAAGTTGTTGATAGAAAAAGAAAGATGAAAAGAAAAAAAATTATTCATTTTAGCCGTAAAAACAAACAAACTTCGGATAGAATATAATAGATTCGGAATGTATATATATATATATAAGTTTTCTTTTTATATTTTATTAAGTTATTTCAATGTTTTTCTTTATCTTATAATTCTACTAAATAAATACATATGCATAAAAATGAAAAACAACAACAACAAACAGTTGAAAAAAGAAAGGTTTTTTTTCATATATTAACACTAGACAACTTTTCGGATGATTTAAACATCACTATTATGTGTACGTAATAATGTTTGTGAAACACAAATACGATGACGTCCACGAGATGTTTCACGAATTATCACACGTATTGGACTTGATTCATGAGCAGTATCACTATTGAATAAAGGACGCTAAAATAAACATTCATTAATTGTTGAGTTTTTTTTTTGAATGAATAATAAGTAATTATTTCTTACTGAATTTGTTGGTGTTGCCAATGGTTTAATGTGCAAATTGAGATAATCAGTTTCTGGTGTTGATGGACTTTCTATACGATGAATCGATGGTGTTGTAGATAATGAATGTGATTGTTGTTGTAGTTGTTGGCTTTCAAACGGTATTTCAAATATTTTATCATTAGTACTATAGTTAATATCACTTGGTTTCAAACCATATAAGAGTACTCTACACAAGGTCATTGAATTCTAAAATATTACATCTATAATCTAATTTACTCAATCATAATCACTATAAAACTTATAATATTAATAAAAGACGATGCCTATATTTGTATGTTAAGAATGATAAGAAAAAGAGGAGAGAACTTCTTTTTTTGTATTTTTTAGTGGCTCATTTGGAAAGCAACAGCTTGTTGCGACCATGATGATCATCATCAACGAGAAAAATGAAAAAGAAAAAAAAGTATGTGTGTGTATGTTCATGCACGTCTGTGTATTTATTCTAAGATTGATTGAAGAATAAAAAAAAAAAGAAAGAAAAAAGAATTGGAGTCTGTTCAATTTAATTTTGAAAGAAACTAGCAATTCCAATTAGTTCATAAAAAAATGACATATAACAGCTATTAAAAAAAAAGAAAGAACAAAAGAACTTACTTGAGTTTGATCAATAATTGGTTCTGATAGTATAGCAGTGGCGGCACATGGTTTATAATATGATTGAACAAACCA